TGGCTTGCCTTGCAAAAGACTGTTCAATAAATCAATCAAAAGAGAGGAGTAGCGGGGGAAGAGAGAAGCCCATTCTCGTGTTCAATAACAATCGGACCCACCTGTAATTACACATAAGGCCAGCGGTTCCAGCAGACGTAATAAAACGTTATTCAACGTAAATCTTCTATCTAGTAATGTAACTAACGTTACTGTCATTTGGGATTTTAGACTAGCCGTCATCCCTCCTCGAAAAGGATTGATAGCCGAGACAAAGACTTTTGCAGTGTCCACATAACCTATATCGAAGAGGATTTGGACTATTTATTTGAGCTTTCATCTGCTAACGCTAAAATGATTTCAGATTTGAATGATTCCATTCGCTGAGATCGAAATCTAGTATTTAGCCCCTTATCGTTTAATATAACGGTTTAATTGAAGGATACGCAAGTACACTTCAGTGACACGAAGGATATATATATGTGCGTTTTTTTCTATATATACATATATACGTCATGTACCGCTAGTATATTTAATTTAGTCCCAGTAATTTACGTTGCTACTACCATATAATCGTTGTGCTGGTATCAGTGTATCATCACCCAAATTCATAGCAGCGAGGGGTGGGCGAGTCGTCTGAGCCACGAAACTAGTCATATTGAGGATATACGTAGTACGAAAGCTATTGTGCATGGTGGAGAACTCCACGGAGTCTATAGAGGGAGCCGCATTACTACCGAAGCTATCATTCAAGGCCTAAAAAATGGATCAAGATCTTCTGGTTCGTCGCTAAAGCCCCTAATTGAAACTGGTCATGTACTTTTGCCAGATCCGGTACTAGTTCAAATCCGCTGTTAGCCGCAAGGCGATAGGGGGTAACTTCAAGGCTCATCTGTTCGAACCGTGCTTACGAAAAATACCACCTCACACTAAAGAATATCCAAGAGGTGGTTAAAAACCTAGATGTGTTCATCCAGGAGTAGGAGGTAGTTCGTGCTGTTCCATGTCAGGCTGCCATTTGAGTTTAAGATGCTCATAGAAGGCATCACATAATTGTGCCTGTGTGACGACGACTATATGAATTAGCTGACTGTGGCAATCTGTGAAGCTGGCGATGCTAAACTTGGCCAGAGTATTTGCCGTAGTGCGCCGGTTCGCTTCCCAACACTAACAGTGCATCTGCGTGGCACGGAGCACTAGACTCGTGTCAAACACAAAACTCCTGATGGTGCCCACTATAGAGATCAGCATCTTCAAGTGACGGATATCAGGAGAATATAACAAGCATACAAGCTCATAAAGCTCGATGCAGAAGTAGATGTTCTGAGGTACGTAGCCGTCAACAGGCTCCTATCTCGATGTTCTAGGTATGCAGTCGTTAATAAGCTTCTGTTTCGAACTAAAAATAACACAAGACTGCGGATTGTGCGATTCCAAACCGGAGCGGTAATCACACCGTGTAACTCAGGAAGACATGCAGGAATTTAGAAGCCTTTACGGCAATCGGATACTGAGGCACTTCCATGTTGGGCCCAGTTAACGTTTACAGGTCAGGAAGGTGATGGCCCGTTGTGAAGGTTGCCGAAATTCAAAGCGTAGGGCGCTGGGGTGCGTACGCTTAAGCGTCAATGGATGTGGTCCCAGCGTACAGAACAGATTTTCAAAAAAAAGAAGCTAGCTCAGAATGCAGACGGCCCTAAACCGTATGTTAGGACACATACGTGAATAGCGCGACCAAGAGTTACGAAGCGTACTAATAATGCTTTCAGTCCTAGTTATATATATATTTATTTACAGTTATTTCAAGTATGACAAATAGGACGCCGGTCTCCCGTTGCGGGAACTGCAGTGGTCTTAGAGTGCACGCGTCACCGTTAATGGCAAGGTAAGGCAACAGGTCTTACATAGGGAGTAACATTTATGGAGTGAGAAACTATATCACACAACGCAGAACGACGATGACGATATGCTCTATCATGCTACTGTCTAATAGTTTATATAGTTTCACATAATGGTAAGGGGCATTATTTACTACGCCTATAAGTTTTGCGGAACTGGCTCAACTTCGTTGCATTTATTCCGCAGCGCTAGCCACAAGTGGCAAACCGCGTTCCTGTATTGTCGCTTGTTTAAGTATTCACAGTTACGATCTGATATGGTCAATGTATGACAGCGCACGTGTGCATATGTCAAAGTTCTCGCTTTATTGCGTTTGCTTCTTCGAGGCGGGTTAGAAACTATACTCGAACCCGAACGATCCATGCGCACGTTAACATCGATCTATCTATAATATTCTATAGTACAGTGTAAACTATTTGGAAATGGGTGCCCAGATGGCAAATGGCGATCTATATATTATATTTGCGTTGTATATAAATTGATGTATATATGTCAATTAGCCCCCTTGACACAAACACCCGACTGCAAATCATAGGTGTGGTAAAAGTGTAGAACGACTTTATATTCAAGTACATAGTCTACTTATTTATTTGGACCGACAAAATTACACAGCTAGCACGACCATCGGTGGCATCCTCGACATTTTGCCCGGTCGCGGTTATTGAGTGCGACGTAAATTTTCGGCTTCCTTTACACCTTCAGTAATAATAAGAGCAAAATCGATCAAGAGCGAATCTGGTAATGAAGAAAATAATAATAATAATGCTGCTCTCGTAGCAATCTTCGGTGTTTCATTGTTATAGCGGGGTGGCAATCCGAAGCTACAGTCTTCGATTACTGAACATTAAACTACGGAAGTGATTAAATTATTTCAAAATGGATTTTCTTTGTTTGGTTAAAGTCCAATTGGAGCCTGCTTCACATGTCCTTCTAGATAAGATGGGTAACTGCCCTGGATACTGGAATAATAACTAAACTCGGTTACAATAGTGACCGCGTCTATTTTGTTCAATGAACGTGGCGCTCAACGAAGCTTACTCGCTTATTTACAGGCCACGTACAACATATTATATGTTATTAATAATAACAGATACGTTCTGTGTCAACATTTACGTAACACCTCGTATTTAGCTGACATACAAATGCGTTTACGTCAAACATACATATATACGTTTGCAGAGATCTGATAGGCAAAGCTTTAACGATTGTGATTATACGGTGCGAAAACTAATCCCGTATGTGAGCTGAGGAAATTGGAATTCTCAACGCGCGTCCGCAAGCGTCAAGCGAACAGTAGCTACAAACGGCAGGATCGTCAAAAGGTGACAACTATCCGTCTTTCTGTTGAAGCATCGCAGAAATTCTGGGCAGGCGCGAGCCAGCGCATTCATCTACGTAACCTACTAGTGACCGTTGTAACTACATAGAATGATTACATTTTCACTATTACTGCTACTGCCATGATAATGGAACGGTACGAGCAGAATCGAGCAAATGTCAGGAGCTAAAGTCAAATGATATGACCTCTCACGCCTAACTTTTAATCCCTGTCGAATCGAAGCTCGTGGCATATGCTTCCCATGAACATCGCATCAGATAACACTCATGCTGTAGACGTTACGTCTACGTTATCGCGTCACTGATTGCTTGCGCATCGTTGACGTGCCCAACGCATTAACGTCATACTTGTTCAACTAGAAAATACGCAGTGAGGTCGAAAGCAGCGCGTTTCGTACGTCGGACGCCTTATTTCGGCGGGCTCAAACGACTGTAGTGCTATCGAAAATTTGCTACCGATATCTCACTAGTTATATTCAGTACGTCTCTTTTGCTTGTTGCTAATGGTCCTTCAAGTCAGTAATCCGTTACGGATCTATGCTATGTTTTCCCCGCATGGACTTCGATTATCGTCTAGATCACAGGGGGGTTACCGCTCGTTTGTGGCGATCAGCAATAACATCAATAAAAATGCCGATTACAATAAATATGCTATACAAATTGCTTGAATTTGCGTACCAGGTAGTGTTGGATTAGGGGGGTAGTTTTATTCTCGGTGACACGTACAAATGAAACGCAACGTTGGCCAATACCATGAGGTATCAGCGATAACGAACGGATAGCGAGCAACAAGCAATAGCAGTGAAGTAACAGTTTTCGCTGTTAGAGACAAATGATGAAAACCATAAAATTAGTACATGGATCTAAACCTCTTAGAACCATAATAATGGTAGTGCTACAAATGACACATCCGATCTTTTAGATGTTGCGAGATCTTAACAAAGGGACTTAGTAATTATGAAGACACGCTATCTACGAGGCAATCTTCAAGAACGACCTATGTGTACACGCTACTGCCACTGCTATCATAGGTAATATGAAAGATAAATTCAAGGCAGAAATTTATAGCGTAAAACGAGACAACAGCAGTTTTGTTGTAAAGGTGAGCGTGGAATCTAGTCATGGGATCCGTACGGATTGCAGTGTTACGCAGGACGTGGAATAAAAATTAGGCTAATTTTACTTATATAAGTGTTACTATAAGTAGTAGCCGCGAGGTGCTAAGCTGACAACATACAGGCATGTTTTTTGGATGACGCTGGACCAATGATGAGGGCCGGACAAATGATTGTCAAGTAAAGCAGTTACCCTAAAAGGGTTTTCGGAGCGACTCAATGCAACTGACGCCTGACGCCATTGTCAGAATTACGTCCGATCAAGCATTTCGACAAAACTAATTCGGAGACGATTCTTTAAAAAATAAAAAGGGGAGCACATATTTTTGAGGCTAGACGTGATTAATTTTACGTTTCCTCTTCTTTGTAACAGCTTCGATTTAATGCCGAGTGTTGGAGTCCGTCGTACCACGGTCAGGGGACACGCGGTGATACCAAGACAAACGAGTTGTACAGTTTCTTTAAAGCGCTTTGCCGTGTTCGATATGGGCACACAAGCAGGAATTCATAAGTCCTCTCGAAAATCCTGTAATCTACAGTCAAAGTGTGCAATATCCGTGAAAATTTAGCATCTTCATACCTAATTTACTACCAATGAAACACATCTATTTGCAACAATGGCAACAACATTTTTTATCGAAGCGGAGAAAACAAGCTCAGAACACTTACTATCATCATCGATATCTGGTCGATTCCGTTCTTTGTCGTTGGTCGACGATTCACTGTTGGAGTTTGCGGAGTGTTTGACGGTATGTTTGTGGCTTTGGCCAAGCAGGTGACTGATGATTGAGCTCAGTTTGCCCTGTGTCAGTGGCAGCGTTTGCTGTTGTTGCTCATGATTTTCACTGCCACTCCCAATGGCCGAATCCCGAGCCGAGTTCCGATCCAAAGAACCACGCCTTCGCCTGAAAAGAGACGCCGCACAGTTCCGATAGACATGTTAAAGGTAAACAATGTAACCTAGAACGCGCCAGTGTCATTCCCCTTAGGCCATACGATGGTCCTTGACCAATGGGCACATCCAACGTATAGCTAGAGTAGAAAGCTGTCTGCTACGTGGATAACTTTTGGCGCGCCTGAACCATTGCTAGATTACACCCATACCCATTGTCCACAGCGGACGCATAATTTCTACTTCGTTTGGCGCGCTCGTTTAAAATCCGTGTACCTAATTTATATTATTATTATTATTATTACACGAATTCCCTGTTGCTTCTAATGGAGAGCAATAATAAGCTGCACCACTTTTCGATACGAGGCAGCGAACTGCCTACAAGGCGACTCCGACGGCGCGACAAAGACACCTTATTTAAAATGAACCTTGCATTAAATCCACGACGATTTATTATAGCTATGCTATGAAACGGAATGCACATTATGGGCCATAGTAGAGCCTTCTGCTGTTGCCATAAATCAATGAATACTGTATAATAATTTATGACGCCTGCAGCAATGCTGCGTATTGTATCTTGCAATCGATAGAACCACAGCGGGCATAGATGCGGAGAGTCAGAAAACACGGATCGACTACTCTGTATGGCAAACATCTTTACTAGATTATAATATATTAGTAATCTTGCTAAAAATAAAACACATTAACAAAAACTATGCCGCTAATGGCCAACTGTAAATTTTCCCCCGACATAAACGCGGCTCGATAGGCAACTAGCGAAGACGATTGCACAGGTAACCGTACGTGTTATACTAGGAATTTTTTAAGATCAATGAAAAACTAAATAGAGTTATTTCTTCAGTACCTAGAAATGATCTCATTCACAAAGAACAGAATTTCCAACCCATTGCCACGGATAACGCTCACTCGTTTCTAATGCTATAATAGCAATAACAATAAATAATTATCTTGGCATAAACGCTTCGGTGATACGCAGACAGCCCTACGTTCGCTACTGCCAATCAACAGGGTAAGTCAGTCCACAAAAACACATCTCTGACTTTCTATTCGGAACGTATTTTCGGTATACGAAGCTATGTTGTCACAGTCTAAAGCATACTGATCATGTTTCGTCACTTCCAGAAATCCGAAAATTTGTTGTTTCCTGTCCATTTAAGGTGTAGCGTGTTTTTTACAAAGAGGAATGTGCCGTTAGCTCCCCACAACTTATCAGCTAGTTCTTGACCCCCCACACACAGTTCTGTTGCCGCTCTAAGTACACTTGAGCTGATATTAGTCAAGGAAACAAATGCAATACTGCCTAGATCTGCATTCGAAAGCATCAGCTTCCCTCGTACTTTACGATACTTCTCCGAAACACCGACGAACTTTTCGTTCGCCGTCAAAGGAGCGGTAAAAGGAACATATTATTACGTTACTTAATTCATTATATTTGAAAGGATTTTTTCGTGCATTTTCACAACGTTGTAGATGACCGCACTGAAATTTGCTCGTAGCAGTAGCGACTTTAGTGGTCTACAGCGCGGGCAAAGCATTTTTTACATAAGCAGATCTTCGATGACGTTTTCCCAAGGAGATAGTAGATCCAAATTCGAATTTGAAGGCAGGCATAATGACACCGCACCGTGAGCGAATTTCTGTTAAATCGAACACTCGAAAGCGTAGAACTGAAGCGCCCGCTTCACGAGGTAGTGAAGGAAGGAATAGGCAATCTTCTGTCAAATTGCACGCAAGCACGTGAGAAGAGCCAATCTAGACGTGTCTACTTCGTCGTCGATTGTCCGAAAAATAGAACGATATTGCGAATGCTACCTGTTACGTTTACGAATTGACCTTTGTCGTTGTTACAGTCTTTCTGTCGCTGTCTAAAATTTAATCAAAAAATAGTCATCTGCTGGCGAAAAAAAGGTGACAGCTCTAATTGATTTAAAGACATAGAACGCCTATACTGCCTCCGCCCCATGTCGCAAATGGCTCAAAGTATCTGTCTGTGTAGGTATCAGTTGTAAGAAAAATAAGTATCCATCAGGTGCCCATGTCAATCGGCCGCTCTGGTAGTGGTCACCTTTCGTAACAGACGGAACGACCGGCATCTTCAGCTACAAGCATTATTTCGATCTCTTTTTCTGGCGTTGTACACCCTTCTGTCTAAAATAGATCAGAACGACGAATCGGAACGCCAAAGCTAAATGCAGCCTCACTGCTGAAAGACCTCCTGTGCCCATTACGCATCGTTGACGCGACAAATGAGCCCGACAAACGTCTCCGTGCGGCCAAACGCCATCAACTGTTTACTTCCATAATCATAATTGTATCGGCTAATAGCAGTATTTGTGCGGACCGGACGACGAGAAAAATGGCATTGCCCAAACATTTACGAAACAACACAGTACAATCTTGTCCGTTCGTTCTTTTCTGTTCGCTTTATCCGCCGGGTAGTGTGGGAGTGTCACCTATCTAAGCTATGATTCGCCTGCGCCTTCCCTTCAGATGGCGCGCAAGAAGGTCTTCCATTTATATCCGGCACCTACTAGTATTATAGGCCCATATCGTTCTGCTCTTGTTAACGGCGCACCGTTATCATGCCTATGACTCTATACGCAGTGTATTAGAAAGGAGCATTTTTAATTGAACCTACCGCGCTAGATGTTACGGGAGGCAACTAATAGTAGGTATTTCGATGCTAGTGCTTAGTAAACTTAGCTTGCCTGCGGTATTCAGGAGTGTTGAAGGCCGACTCCTGAACCGCTGAAAAATTTGGCATATCTATAAAGAGTTTTGCCAAAAACATGATAGCTACGCTGCAATTTAGTTATTTGCCATGAGGGTAAATGCTAGCTTGCGGATCGTTCACCTCACGTAATCGGATCAGGTGAGTTAGCCTGCATGCTGTATGTATTGTTCCATGTCCGAAACGTTCGCTCGTTCAAAGTGTCAACTACTGTAGACTTGTGTATATTATGCTCTACAATTAGTTAGTTAATACCTATTCTGAATACGTACATGGCGCGGCCTTCGGAGTCATCGTCGTCGCTTAGGTCGTTATTTGTGTTGTTGTCTTTAGCTGCGGCGGCGATGACAAGGCGACGGTGCTTGTTGACGTTCTCAGTGTCTGTGGCGCAGCGCGATTGATGGTCACTGGCCACTCGGTCGCCTGTAACGTTGTCATCCGTGGATAGAGAGGCTTCCATGGCACTGAGGGCGGCCCTGGCTTGGTCCCCCCTCCCCGACGCCCCCGTGCTGTCTTCTGCTGCTGTTGCTAAGTCATCAGCTACAAGATCATCATTAGTATCAGCATTCTCATCATCATCGACACCAGCGTCCTCTCCGCGAAGGCGGCGGCGGCGACGGCGATCGACGGTGTGGTCATCTTCTAGATCATCAGTTTCACCATTATCAACGTTGTCATTGTCTACATCGTTTTCGTTCCCGTCCTCGTGATCCTCGATACGACGACGATTTTTTCTACTTCTTAGTTCTGTTCTATCTGCATTTATGTCACGATCAATAATGTCTTCATCATCATCTTCCATGTCATCAACAACGTCGTCATCATCACGGGCATCATCATCATCATCATCGTCGTCGTCGTCGTCATTGTCTTCATCACGGTCATAATGGCTACTATCGGTGATGTGGTCAGCAACGCCGGCGGCTCTACTAACAGTGGTTTTAGCGTGCTCAATGTCGAGGTGGTGGAGTTGACGATGATCGCTTCGTCGGGTGGACCTCGACTGAGTCCGGTCTCGATTTTCACCTATGCTTAAGACCGACAGACCATTACCATCGGTTCGGAGTCGTCGACTTGAATTCCGATGAACATCGACGCTAAGCAGGTCAGAATCGTTGCTGCCGTTTTGGGTACCGCCTCCGCTAATGCTTGAACCAGTTGTGCTGGTGGTACCGCTATGGCCGCCGCCCAAAAAATAGCTAGCAGCCTGAGCGGCGGCACGCAGCTGCTGCGGGGACAGCAGCTGTTGTGATGCCCGCAGTTGCTGCGGGAGCTGTGAATGGTGATGGGGCGATTGCAGGTGGGAGCCTTGCAGGTGGGGGAGCGCCGCCAGGGCGGCCGTGGGCGGGCGTAAAGCCGCCGGGACCGCGGGAGCCGCTGACGCCCCTACAGAGGCCGCGGGGGCGCCGAGACCCCCCAGCGCCGCTAGACCCCCCACGCCGACCGGGCTATGATGCCCGAGCGTTTTCTGCATGTTCTGTAGCAACGAAGGGTAGAGGTTGTGGTACACGCCGCTCAGCAGGGCCTGGGAGAGCTGCTCTTCGCTAAGCAGGCGACTCGTCGAGCCCTTGTCCGCGCTCTCAGCATCTCCCTGCGAGAAAAAGCGTACAAAACACAGAAAGACACAACAAGAAAAAGGGAGAAGGAGAGAGAGAGAGAGAGAGAGACAGAGAGAGAGAGAGAGAAAGAGAAAGAGACAAATGGGCGTTAAAAAGGAAAAAGCAACAAGGGCGTTCGCCAGTCTGGTGAAAAATCGGCGGAGTAGTAGTAATGGGAATAATTGCGCCCGATAGATACAATGCCAACGCAGTTCCGAGCGTAAAACTTGAAATACAAGTTAAGTTACTGTCTAATGTAATAATGACTAATATTGGTTCGAAATGTAACATTTGAAGCACTTAGTAGTATACATAATAACTTATGTCCTTGTGTCATTTATTGATCGGACTTAATACATCTCCAAGTAATCATATATTACTATATGTCATCCATGCTGCGTGAATATTAATAAGTGTTAACTGATTTTTTATATCGAATAAGTATTACATCGGTGCTGGGAAAGTTTTATCAACCATCTTGATAATATATGATACGCATAGAGTCTCTTTACGTCGAACGTTATGAAGGCCTAATAATGTGCTAAATTAACGTACTTTATTGCGTATTTTCTATTAGAGTAACTCGTAGTAACGAGAAGCACCAATAGCCGTTGCTTGTCGAAACGCGTTCCTGCTTCTTTGGATATCACCCTTGAAAGAAGTTTGCAAGTTTAAGTTCGTTTACCAAGTTCGTCCCTCTTCCGCCTCTGCCTTGTGCTTAACCAGAAGATTGTAGCTAATATTCGATTCGTTGGCCGATAACAACCGACACATCTACATACATCAAAACCGTTTCGCTAAATACAAAATGCAAACATTTTTTTTTTAATATCGCCTATCTCATTCTATTACATCGGTGCTTACCTTTTACAGTATCATTTTTTCTTTTTGACTTATCTTTCTTTTTGATACAATTTGTCTTGCGGACGTAGGCACTTACGGGTCCGCTACTTCTGGAGTGTACCCACCGCTATTTACCAGTAGCCATAAGTGTCGCGAGTAGATCTGTTTTCTCTATTCGCAAATAGCCATGTTGGTCTTTATAGTTGGTTATTAAATAAAATAATCACGTTTTTAATATTTTTTACGAATATTTGCTGGCGTCTACTATGGCGGCCGCTGCATTTACGATTGCGACTGCCTTAACGAAATGGCCTCGTTGTTGCTACTGCTGTTGCCTCCGCTCTAAGGTGGTCGGTCTCGTGCCAGACAGACCATTCCGGCGATCTCATTTCGCGACGGTTGTTCTCATGCGAACGCCGTCCCCAGGCGGGAATCGCGAGGTTGATCATGCCGCCGCCGCCACTGTCCCCGCTGTCTCACGTAAGACTGACGATATGAGATGCTTCTGTGGAGCCGCTATACGAACGAAGTGTGTGGCGTCTGTTTTATCACTACAGACGCTACCGACATAGCACCAGTGTGCGTCATATGGCATATACATACATATATATATATACACAGAGACAGATCCTCTAGCGAACCAGTGGCGCCGGCGCTGACGATAAGCTGTCAGGCATTTTACATTCAATTTTTGGTGTTATTGTTAACCGATGCAATAGACATTATTATCATCAGCATCATCATAATCATTTTTATCGTTACAACAAAGTAGATACAAGTCCTTGTAAAAACAGTTGAAACGGAGACAAGACGGCGAAGTGAAGGAATTGACCCTGCTAGACGGCTTGCCATCAGATCGCTTCTCGATAGACTGAGTGCTGAAAATAGTTGGCAGCAGTAGCATTTTCCGCCAGTGATTCAGCAATATAGGAAAGGTTCTCCCTTTTTTAAGACGAAGATGGCTTTTCTCTTTTGGCGTATCGTACAATTTGAACATCTTTGTTCCATCCTTTCACTATCACCGTTTCTAATTACTATTACTTTTGCCCGCTTCGTCCATCCCTATTTTTCACTTAGATATTACTTCATGACTTTGTATCTTATAGTAAGTTTCGCTCAGCCCAACCGAACTGTTTTTATTGATTATTTTCTAGGAACTAGTCTACTCGTAACGTGTATTTGTATTCGTGCGTACGCAATAGACTGCGTATTGATACAACAACTGCTCTGCTATAACACTCACCAAAGGTAACAAAAGGCATTTTTTGTAAATAAACAAAAAATAACCTGTTATCTCTGTCTGCACCGGTAAAATTTCCAATTTCGAATCCGATGAAGTCACTCAGCAGTTACGGCTTGCCCACTCGTACATTTGTATTAGGGTATAGGATCAAGTTGTACAAGCTCACTGCTACCCGGTGGGTTACTATCGTTAACTTGGGCGTATTGCCAGCTACTATAGCCGGGGTATTGATTCCGTTGAGTTTCGATCGTAAACCTTGGCGTAAATAATAATATTAATAATAATAACGGCGATAAGAAATCAGCGGTAATAGGGTTGGCGATCGCCATCGTCAAGGTTTGGCTATTATTGAAAAAAATCACGCTCTAAAAATCCGATATAGGTTTACATGGGTCCATAAAACGTGTGTGAATACAGATACGCAGTCTGGTAGGTGTCCGTGTGCTATTCTAGTATTTTTTCTATATTAAAGGTAGATAGATAGATAGAAAAACACATGAGGATTCAGCAATGATTTCTCTATGAGCAGTTGTCACAGAGAGAAGAAGGCCTGAGACGGCCAGCGAACTACGACAATTGTTTGTCTACCACTTGCTGTCGTCGTTGTATATTGAATTTTTGTTTGAGTTGTTGAGCTGAAATACACCGTAGCTACACCGACAGTCGGTGGAAGTTGGTGGTGCCGTTTTACGAGCAGCGAGAGGTACATTGTACGACGGATTTGAGCGTAATCTTTTCCCCGGCAAAGGGTAGATTGTACGGTCGACGGTGGACAAGCGTAGAAACATGAGAAGCCGGCCAGCTCCAGAGGCGTCTGCGCGTACGTGTCTACTACTCTAAACTAGTTTTTCAGAAAAACATTCAAACGTATGAATGAAACAGCAACAATACTACAAGAGCTACCCCTGTTTCTAGTTCAGATCGCTGTTGCCGTCGTGTCGCTAATTGTCGTCAACGTAGGAACTACCTCGATGCTCGACGTAATATGCGCCATTAATGTAATACGTTAGGAAAACGTTCGTATGAGAAACGCGCACGTTCAGCGAAGTCTGCCTCTTGAAAACAACTTTGGCTTTTGTAAACAGTCCTGGCTTACAGTCACTTGTTATTATTTGCTCTGTCCGTAATTACGTGCAAGCGCGTGCGGCCTGCCTCGACCTTTACGCAATTAAGATTGGCGATAAATGCTCCCCCTGAAAAATCCTACAAATCTCTGTTTCAGCGTACGTATCTAAAAACGTATTGTTAATGCAGGGCAAATGATCATATCTGCCTTTAATACTATCAATCGAGGCGCATCAGTGACTATGATCAATATCGGCGTATTGAATGTGGTAAGCGCTTTCGTACAGCTCTCTCTTTCATCGCTTTTCCCCTCTTTCCTTATCGCTTTAAACACAGAAGTTCATGGATTTGAGCTTTTATCAATTGGGCTTAGCTACTAGCTATCTACCGAAGGGGGAACGTCAATAAAATTTGAAAATGAATCACTGACACATTAGCAGCTACTTGAGTATGACATGCGTTTTATAGTGATGAGTCTTAATTTATCCGTTATCCGGTCGTTACGGCTGGACCTAAAATGCATAGAGTATATACATATATATATATATATATATATATATGGACAAAAAAATTGTTTTCTTTGTTGATGTGTATTGCAAAAGGCTTATTGCCCTGAGTTGTTGTTGTTAACAAATATACACGTACGAAAATAAATTATAGTATAATGCATGATAAATATAACACTGCTTGCGAGCACGAATAACAGTAATAATATTTATTATTTCTTAGTTATGCCTAAATGATAGGCCCGCTTTTTCATTGCAATCAATATAGGATTACGTTTCAAAACGCTGGTGGCTCTCAGACGAAAGAAACGATGAGTCATAGCCGGTGGCGCCTTCCGTGGCGAACGGCATAAGCTCGCTCTAACTTGCTTCGCTAAGAAGCCACGGGTGGCGCCACAAGCGCTGTTTTATCGCGACAAACTGGCGCTTTAATTCCCAACCCCCTTCTCCCCTTTGCCGAATGAATATATTCAAACTTTAGATCTACGACTGACTTTTCGTATAATTATGCGGCGGTAATAGCGCGTGTATACGGTTGACTCGCTCGTATATTGCCATATGAGGTCGCCTCCTTTCACTTGGCTAGAGAGATCGAGCGAAATCGTGTCCTCTGTTTCGTGTTACGCGAAACCCGGCACTGACCGAAACAGCGCAATTGAGGTAGAAGCAAGATTTAATTTGCACGCATAAAAAATTATACGTTTTCAGTTTCAATTTGAGCGTCTTGAAGCGTGTTTAATCTTGAGAACTTCGACCTGGGATATCTTTTTTTCGTTTCGGTGCTTCTATTTTGATTCATACAGAGATCCTAGAGCTCTGACATAGACCGGCCTTCTGGCTAAAGACCACGGATGCGCACGAATTCGATATTCTTAACATAGCCCATAGACTTCCATTAACAGACGAATTTTTAAACTTCGCGAACAAATGTCAACAATAAATTGAATTTGCATTTAAGTTAGTTTGGCCAGCTTGATACGTACATTGGTAAATACCGGTGGCAACAATACGAAGTATCTGAGCCGTTCTCATTTCAGGAGCGTTTTTACTCTAGACAATCCTTACCCGGGAATAATTGTGCCCTCGCAAACCGGAACAGACTCGTTCGACCGTTCAGACTTCGAGTGATTCAAACTCATAGAGCATATTTTCAAAAGTATCCTTATTGTGTTCTGGCACGTATTGAATTGATCGTTGCACTTCACTGAGATTATCCGTTATATGTGTACACTGCATAACGCTGCAGCCGTTGTGCCTCGTATACCTATATATTCACCTGCCTTTAAAGGTAACGATGACTGTCGTGACTTCATGTCTCCTAGAGAGATATGAGGCA